AGCAGGTAGTGGGACTGTGGAGGCTCAGTGAGAGCTGCCTGGAGCAGAACAGGCAGCACGACCCATTTCTTCAGCAGAAGGCCGCTAGAGAGGCCTCTCTGCAAACACACACACCATCAGTGTTTGTATTTCATGTGGTTTCCCTCAAATGACAGTGCTGAGAGAGTGATGCTGCACATTATTCATTGCCTCAGCGCTCTGCATGTAACTAATCCAAATGCTGCAGCTGCCTGATAATAAGGATTAGCTCTTCTCACAGACAGAATGGAGACTTCCAAGGCAAGAAGTGTTCGAGGCTGTGCAAGGACCTCATGGCCGAGTCAGGGTTAGGATTTCACAGCATGTGGGCTCCAGTCCCTTCCTCTGCCCCCTGAGATGTGCTCAGGTGAGCTGCCAGTGCCTGATCTGGTTTCTGCCTGGGTGGGGAGCTCTGGGTGGATGTCTGGGGGCGAGAGGTGTATTGAGTGTCTCTGTACTGTGCAGATGATCATGTGAACTCTGAGCCAGCGGAGCAAAGTCAAGATGACCAAGCAGGTCCCTTTCCATCTTGACCTTCCAGCAGCCCTGCAGTGTCCAGTGAAAACTTGGTTCTGAAATCTGTTCCCTGAGGCAGCCAGACCCTTGTTTTGCACCGTAGCATTGCATTAATGCAGGTATTGAGAGCAGGTAGCTGTCTTGCTGGTGAGTAACAGAGGGAAGAAATCTCAGTTCCATTTGACAGTGACCTTCAAAGCCGGAGGACGGAGGAGACAAAAGTGCAGTGAAATCCCCTGGAAGTCCATGGTAATTGCTGCTGTGGTATCCTGCCAAAGGCGCCCGTGGCTTTTTTTTTTTCAAGGGCCAGCTGCTGAGGCTGTGGCAATTTCCTACCTTTTTCTGCGTGTTTCTCACAATGCTTTGAAATCCAGACAGCAATGGCACCCTTTAGCCTTTGTGAAGTGTTTCTGTTTTCCCTTTCAGGTCAGCGTGGCTCTCTGTGATGACATTGGGAACTAGGAGGTGGCCCTCTGCGTGTCGCGTTTGCTTTAGTTCAGCTTAACACAGCAAGGGGCCTCCTGGGGTCTCCCAAGCAAGCACTGTGAGTCTGGATACTCCAGATCGCTTGACCAAAAACCAAGTCCCAAACCAGTGGCAAGTCCCAGTGTGCATCCCAGACCCCATGGCACCTGTGGTTCCTGCTTTAGCCCCAACATGAAACCTCCAGTAGCAGCAAAGGGAGAGTTTAGAAGGCAAAAAGTTTGTGGCGGGTGAAGTGAATAAAGATAGTCTCTAAAAGCCAAGAGAAACCAGAAGCCTCTTCTCAGTGGCAAGAGCTGCAGAGGAAGTGGTTCATTTCAGGCAGGGGCAAGAAGCAGCAAGTTGCTATGGAGATCCCTCGTTGATAGTCCTGTATGCGTTCAGCTGTACAATGAGCTACACAGAGGATGGGAATATGTGCTTCTGCCTCTGGGCTTCAGAAGTCTTTACCAACTGTCTCATGAGCAGCTGACATCCTAGGTTTGCTGTTCTGATGTGGCTGGAGTTCTCAACCAGTTGCAGAGCTGGCCAGGAGCTGTGCTGTACCAAACACGAGCTGTGTAGTGCTGCTGGGAGCTATGCTCGACAGTCTGCTGGGCTGACAGGCACGACCCAGCATTTGGAGGAATGTTTGTAGGCAGTGGGATGTGATTTCTTTTTGATAACATTGACTGTCAGGATATTTCCATGTGCTGCTTTCCTCCCAGGTGTGGCCCTGTAGGTGCTGTCTGGTTACTGAGCACTGGCAAAAGAAAATCACACAAGGGGGTGCCAGTGTTAGCAAAGTGGCTGCTCTCCTCTGCCTAGCAGGCCCAGCTAATGGAGATTCCTTTTTCTGGCCAGATGAGGTGTATGACTGACTGAGGCCATGTTGGTGCTGTCTGCTATGTAACCTGTTGCTTCCACACCTGGGATGGAGTTGATAGGCATTCGGGGAGTTTAGGATTTGAGAAGCACTTCTTGCATGTCTGGCTTTGAACCTGCAGCTGAGGAGCTGCCCGCTGCCAGAGCAGCGCTCTCACACGCAGCAACAGCCCTGAAAATAGGATGGGAGACTACTCGGGGCAGCTCTCCTCTGCCCTAGGTCATGGCTTTACCTCTGCTTTCCCTGCTCCCAAAGGTCTCCTTGTGGGTACTTGGTGCCTCTCAGGTGGGCTGCCTCCCCTGGGGCTTCTTGTCTTCTCTAAGAAGAAATCAAGGAAAAACATGAATCAGCATTATCAGTTGGAAAAAATTATGTTTTAAACGTGTCAAATGAAGATTGGGAAGCTGCACTAAACAGTCACAACAGGTCAGAAAGGCCGCTGAGGTCCTGCCTTGCGCAGGGAGATGCTGGCCCAGCCCCTCTGCCGGCAGCCGGGGCAGCGCACGGGAGCAGGATGCCTTCGCCGGCTTTGCTGCTTCTGCGGGGAGCTCTGCTCCCAGCACCCAGCTCTGCAACACTGCCACCCAGCGCACCCTGAAACGCGAGCCTTGCAGAGCGCGTTAGAAACTGTAAGACCTAGGAAACCCAGGGTGGGTTTATCCTTCTAGCTTGGAGAGACACCCCCCCCACCGCCAACCACGGTGGTGCTGTGTAAATAGCAGCAGCAGCACCTGCCCGCCTGGCTGGGGTTTTGAAACATGAGTTGTCAGCTTCTCGTGCAACCACAATGCTGAGAAATGTCTTAGAAACAAACCAATACCAGCAGGTTTCTCAGCCAGCAGCCAGAGCCCTGGGGATTGGAGAGATGCTACAAATAGCATGAGAATTTGTAATGGAGCCAGCTCCACCTCCGGGGCCTGGTGTGGAGCCAGGTACCGTTAATTCATCCTCAGCAGTGCTGGGAGGGCTGCAGGGATGCTACCGGTACAGTCCTATCTGTCTTGGTCGGGGAGGGAGCAGACGCGTGTCTTCACCTCAAAACAGTGATGTGAAATCATACTATTGCCCTGACAGAAGCTTACCGGGAGGCAGAAAGCGACCGTGCGCGCAGGTCTCCTGCAGCGTGCAGTGCCTTCTCTGGGGGTGTCTTGCAGGAGGCGGCTCCGGGCACGGCGCTTGGCTCAGCCGGTATTCAGGTGCGGTCATCGTGCACATGCTACGGTGAACACGCAGTAATTCGCTTCCCTCGGGGTGGTTTAATTTGGTTCCCTGAGGGCGGTTTGGCTCGCAGCACTTTTTGCCAACAGAGAGGTAACAGTGGGTCTCTGCCCACCCCATCGCCTGCACGTTTGCAGCGTTGCTTTCCTCGCTCCTTAACAGAGAAGCTGTTTGTGTTTTGGTCCCGTAGGTATGGTCAGGGAGGTGGTTTTTTTGGTCTCTCTTCTGTTAAAGCACATCATTATCCTAATGAAGGAGTCCTTGCCCCCAGGCAGCTTCTGGCCCCAAGTAATCAACATGGAAAAAGAGTCTGAAGGTTTTTGGCTTTTTGGAAAAATATCTGTATTTTTAAGAGTGAGGGTTTCAAAGACTCCACGGTACTGCTATGCCATTGCCAGCTTTGCAGCTTCATAGCCCTTACATCATGAATTTGGTCCAAATCCCATGAGTTTTATGGGTTTGCTTGGAAGAGCACATAGTAACAGTTGATCTGTCTACCATTCCCCACTCTAGCCTTCCCCTGTTCCTGGCCAGCATGGCACAGGATTGTCCACCCCCCAAGCATGTTGTATCAGGCGTTTGGGCCCCTTGTATGACAGCTCTTTCTCGTGCAGGACATGGCAGATGATGTTATGAAGAGCAGTGAAGTTTCCAAGTCCTCGCCAGCTCCAGCACACAGCCAGAGCAGCTCTGGTCACCTGGAAGCCTGGCAGATCTCCCTTCACTGCCTTTGTCAGGACATCGGTAAAAGTAGAAACAGGTAAAACGAAAGAAAGAATTTCTGTTTTGATTGTAGAGAGGGCATTTGGCGGAGTAACCAGGTAAGAGCTGGTCTATTTTAATGGTATAATGGAAACAATTCTGCCTGGGACTGAGATTGCACTGCCCCGGCTCGCTGAGTGTCCTGAACAAATCACTCTGCCTGCACCAAGCTCCCTTACCATCCCAGCCACCTTTGCCACCACCCTGCTCATGCTGGAAAGTGGAAAACCAAAAAGTACACATTGCACTGCCATGCAGTGCTGTTCGATTCCTTTTGTTGTTATAACTGATGCCAGAACGGGTGTTACCAATCTCCTTTCCCATAGGCTGAATTACCTTCAGCGGCAGAGTAAAAAATGTGGCATCTCCAGCCTTCTGTGTGAAAGTTGCTACAAGTGCCTTATAAAGTCCTCTGAACTTCTACAGCTTCGGGGAGGAAGGTGCCAGGCTTGAGGGCAGACATTAACACTCTTGTGCTGCTTTTAAATGGGCACCAGGGTTAACCATCACCCCACAGGCACCTTGCCCAGGGACCTTGGACTGCAGCTTGGGGGAAAGCTCTACATCGTCTTTTAATGCGTAACTCTAGGGCCTCCCTGCCAGAGCGATCGTGCTCCCAGGGTTGCTGATGGTACCGGTCACTTTGTGGGGTCAAGTGCCATAGGAGAAGTAGTTTTACTGGTGGGACTTTAACCAGGCTTACTACAACGATCAGTCAGCAGGCTGCCAGCGCCGTGCGTCCTTGCGTCTCCTTCCCAGTTTCTGCCTGCTCAGGGGTGTTGAAGCATTCAGAGCACAGCAAAGCACCTTCCCTTCCCAGCTCTAATGAGATGCAACTGTTGCTCCAGGAAGC